AGGGTTATTATTTTAATAATAACATAGGGTATTAAAGCTACACAAACATCATGAGTAAGAAAGCGTGGTGAGGTTTTCCTTTGTTAAACCGTAAGTCCACCAGTGGTGAGAGTCCTGGTCGTTCAGGATGAACGGGGATGGAGCTGTCAGCAGTGCAGAGAGTTTGAAAATGGCGCTAAAACCAGCGCATTTGCTGCTTGTTTCCAAAAGATTGTTGTCGAGTGTTGGGAAATGCGCAGATGAGAATGCAGGCTAATTGTTAATCGCAGTTAGCAGACTCATGTTTTACTGCCAAAATGTGCATTGCTCCATGTAGGGAGTTTGTCGTGTGCAAGGCAGCTCATTAAAGTGAATGTGCTGACGCAAGGCTTTTTTTTTTTTTTACATGTGAAAAAAAACACACAACAAAAAGTGAGTGGAATGTGCTTTTCAGCTATGCTCATGCGTGAATGGTATGTGCTAGGGAGTACATTTTTGGGAACAAGGATGACCAGGGAGGAGAGGTGAGGGTTAACCCCCCCCCCCCCAACCAAAAAACAAAAAAAAACAAAACACTGCCTCAGAAGTACCAGCAGATTGGCTGCAATTAAGGAAATGTACAGCTTGCTGACGATTTTACATTGAAGTCTATGGGAGATGTACAGCACAAGAATCGTCCAAAAGTAGTGCAAGAAGTATTTCTTTTGTTGATGCAACAGTTAAGACAGCACCCACTGAAATCTGTATTTTCACTTGACCTGCGATTTTACGTTACAGGTTTCTGGAAATTTTTTTTTTTTTTTTTGCACATTGAACACACAAGCATATAATTGGCAATTGAATGGCATCTTATCTGATTTGACCAACTTTATATAATTTTCATATAAAAATTATGAACTACACAAACATTACTTATTCAGGTACCACTCCCAGCATTGCAGAAGAGCAGAAGGCACATTATAGAGCAGCTCTCCTCTATGGTTGCACAGCTTTCACCACAAAACTGACATACAATTAAAATTCCCCATCCCTGCCGAATTCATACTTTAGGGGCCACTATGAAGCAGTTTGCTGATAAAACATTCAAGAATAACTTGGTGTTTTGTGACGTAGAGGACTGCTTTTCAGGAATTTCCTGACCTTTTGTGCTGGGGATCAATTACACACTGCTGTGTTTTTTTTTTTTTTTTGTTTTTTTTTTTTTGTTTTAAAAAAACTCTCGTCATGTGAATTTTCCTAGGTTAGAGGATGCCGTCAGCCTGCTTCACACAGATGTTGCCTGTGATGTGATCAAACTGATACATTGTAACTTCATAGAAAGTCTCACACTGAGAGGATGCCGTAAGGTTTGACCTGTGTCAGACGCTTGTGAATATGGCTGGTGACTGCACAGGCACAAGGATTTACTGTATTTTTCGCTCCATAAGACGCACCTGACCATAAAACGCACCTAGGTTTTAGAGGTGAAAAACAAGAAACAAAATATTCTCAACTAATGGACTGCAGACATAGTACAGGCTCGAAAGAGCAGGGCCCTCAATCCCCTCATGTTTTGCATTGTATTGGTATTGTTCTGTCACATGTTCTGTCCCCCTTTGTAATGTACAGCGCTGAGCGAACTATTGGCGCTTTATAAATACTGTATAATAATAATAATAATGACCAGAGACTGCGGACATAGTACAGGAGATGACCAGAGATATGCGGACACAGTACAGGGATGACCAGAGACTGTGGACACAGTACAGGAGATGACCAGAGACTGCCAGTACAGGGGGATGACCGGAGACTGCGGACACGGTACAGGGGATGACCGGAGATGCGGACACGGTACAGAGACTGCGGACTGCGGATGACCGGAGACTGCGGACGCGCGGTACAGGGGATGACCGGAGACTGCGGACGCGGTACAGGGGATGACCGGAGACTGCGGACGCGGGTTCAGGGGATGACCGGAGACTGCGGACGCGGTTCAGGGGATGACCGGAGACTGCGGACGCGGTTCAGGGGATGACCGGAGACTGCGGACGCGGTTCAGGGGGATGACCGGAGACTGCGGACGCGGTTCAGGGGGATGACCGGAGACTGCGGACACGGTTCAGGGGATGACCGGAGACTGCGGACGCGGTTCAGGGGATGACCGGAGACTGCGGACGCGGTTCAGGGGATGACCGGAGACTGCGGACGCGGTTCAGGGGATGACCGGAGACTGCGGACGCGGTTCAGGGGATGACCGGAGACTGCGGACGCGGTTCAGGGGATGACCGGAGACTGCGGACGCGGTTCAGGGGATGACCGGAGACTGCGGACGCGGTTCAGGGGATGACCGGAGACTGCGGACGCGGTTCAGGGGATGACCGGAGACTGCGGACGCGGTTCAGGGGATGACCGGAGACTGCGGACGCGGTTCAGGGGATGACCGGAGACTGCGGACGCGGTTCAGGGGATGACCGGAGACTGCGGACGCGGTTCAGGGGATGACCGGAGACTGCGGACGCGGTTCAGGGGATGACCGGAGACTGCGGACGCGGTACAGGGGATGACCAGAGATATGCGGACACAGGGCAGGGGGATGACCAGAGACTGCACTGACATTTTTCCCCCCTTTTTGGGAGGAAAAAAGTGCGTCTTATGGAGCGAAAAATACGGTATATAAAAACCAAACCAAATAATTTCCTTGCCCTAGCAAAAAAAAAAAATATGAAGACTGCTGTATTCACTACACAATCTAGATACTAGATGTAAAACAATTCAAGATAAGTGGGTTCACTGTCTTTTAAAAATTCCAAAGTGCAGTTGTTCAAACAATATACCTATATCAAACCATATTATTTTATAAGGAAATAATAGTGTAAACACAATACATGCAATAACCTAAAAACATATAAACATTTTAAAAACCAAGTATAAACACAAAATTGTACCTTAAAAAGTTGCTTAAAAAGCATTCAAATATTAAAGCATGTGTAACGCCATACTCTTCTTTCAAACCTAGAAGAGTGTATATATGGACAAATGTGTGTATGGACAATAATTTCAAAAGCACTCAAACTTTAACCACTTGCCTACTGGGCACTTTTACCCCATTCCTGCCAAGGCCAATTTTCAGCTTTCAGTGCTGTTGCACATTGACAATTGCACGGTCATGCAACACTGTACCCATATGAAATGTTTATCATTTTTTTTGAGACAGATATAGCTTTCTTTTGGTGGTATTTAATTACCACTGGGTTTTTTACTTTTTGATAAACCAAAAACAACTGAAAATTTTGAAAAAAAAAAAAAAAAAAAACGTTTTTTTTCTTAGTTTCTGTTTATAAAATTTTTGTAAATGAGTAATTTTTCTGCTTCACTGATGTGAGCTAATGAGGCTGTACTGATGGGCACTGATAGGTGGCACTGATGATGAGGCACTGGTGAGCATTGACAGGCATCACTGGTGGGCATTCACAGACATCACTGATGCACACTGAAAGGTAGTATTCATATATGGCACTGATTGGCACTGATTGGCAGCACTGATAGGTGGCACTAACTAGCACTGATAGTTGGCACTGAAAGGCAGCTCAGATGAGCACTGATATGTGGCATTACTGTGCACTGGTAGGCACTGATATGTGGCATTGATGGGCAATGACAGGTGGCACTGATGGGGATACACTGATCATCAGGGCACTGATGATCAGTGTAGATGTCCCCTCTGAGAATGCCGATTACCGGTTCTCCTCTCCTCACGAGCTGTCAGCGGGACAGCTTGTGAGAAGAGAAATGGCGATAAACGGCATTTCCTTATTTACATGCGATCAGCTGTGATTGGACACAGCTGATCACATGACAGAGCCGAAGTAATTGGCTCTTTCCACTGATCGGTGATCCTCTGTGTGCCAGGGGCACAGCGCACCACCGATCACCCCCGGGAGCGCGTACGTGCAGTTAGAGTGGGAGGGCATATGATGTCCTCCCAGAATGAGAGAACCGCCTTGCGCCAGTCATTTCTTTACATGGCGGGCGGGCGGCTAAAGTGTATATAATATAACCCAGTACTCCACTTTCTGAATAGAAATAAATATAAAGAAGTGTATACATGTGCAGATGAATGGATGTATATATGGACGATAATAAATAAGTAGAAATAAAAGTTTTATTCAATATTGCAAACAAAAATAATAAAGATGAATAAAGCACACAAATGTGCAAAATGTCTGTAGAGATGGATGAATATGCTGGTGAACAGTCCAAAATCAAAATGTAGAATCCCAAAGAAATGGAAGATACACTTCAAAGTATGAGACGGAGAGCCTTCAGTTCAGTAAAATAGAGAGTGCAAGGAAAATCACATCACCCACATGTAAAGTAAATGCCTTGCCAGAGACACTGATCACACACATAGATTATAAATTGCCTTGCTGTCCCACAGCACAAAATATTCAGACACTCCACTCCATCTAGGTACGATCCTGTTAAAGTGCACAGTGGAGTTAAAAACAAGAAGGGACCACCATAGTGCAGTGGGAAAAAAAAGAGCTTTTGACGTACTTACAATAAGAAGACAATCACACGCCAGAGTGAGTAATAACGCCACGTTTGTCCCTGCCCTAAAGCATTTCACTGTAAACAGCATGCCTCTATCCTCTAAAGATGCTGTTTACAGTGAAACGCAATAGGATGGGGCCGAACACATGACATTATCACACATGCTAGTGGGAATCCAGCGGTGCTCATCGGTATATGTATGTAATTGTTTTCTTATTGTAAGTACATTACCATAGGGGTTTATATGACACTACCACCTGTGTGTCAGCATCTTGGTACATGGTGTAGATGATGGCTGAACAAGGATGGTGCCATCCCCCTGGAAAGCAAAGCTGCAGAATACTCGACATCCATGCATTAAATGTGCAAAATGTTTCTGATGCTAGGCCCAACTTAAGCATCAAGCTAGTATATGATAGTTTGCATTTTGGGTAACTGTTATTAGATATATGTAATTTTTTTTTTTTCCCATTGTTCTTTTTTTTTAGGGAAACCTACAGGAATACTTGCCAAATCAGGAGAAACGTGTTGTAGATGGCAGTATAGGTACTTACAATGGCGTTAATGCTACATCTCATAGCCTTCAACAAGAAGGTATGTATAGTATTGTGTGTGTGTAAAAAAAAAAAAAAACAACAAAAACTAGTACTATTGTGCTGGGCTCAAAAGATTTTTGTAAAATGCATCACATCTACATCGAGTGTGTGTGTGTGTGTATTATGTGTGTATACACACACTTACTTGACTATTTATACACTGACACTAATTGCAATTTAAAAAGCCACAGATGTGGGACATTAACCTCTAATTGGCATTTTAACCCATGTGTGTCACCTTGTGTGTCTGTACCAATGCCAAACATTCCGGGGTATGTAAACTTTTGATCATGGCCATTTGGGTGATTTCTATTATTATGAATTAAAAAGGAGCCAAACAACTATTTGGTAATAAATGGCTTCATATGATCATCATACTTCAATAAAAGAAAGCGTTTTTTTTTTTTGGCATGATCAGTCATATTTTCAATATCAATGCCAAAACTTCACAATTTCTGCCAGGGTATGCAAACTTTTGAACACAATTATGTGTGTGTGTGTGTGTGTGTGTGTGTGTGTGTGTGTACACATACAGTGAGGAACAGAAGTACTTGAACACCCTGCAATTTTGCAAGTTCTCCCACTTAGAAATCATGGAGGGGTCTGAAATTCACATTGTAGGTGCATTCCCACTCTGAGAGGCAGAATTTAAAACAAAAATTCAGGAAATCACATTGTATGATTTTTAAAGAATTTATTTGTCTTGCACTGCTGAACATAAGTATTTGAACACCTAAGAAACAGCAAGAATTCTGGCTCTCAAAGACCTGTTACTGTGCCTTTTAAAAAGTCCACCTCTACTCCACTCATTAATCTAACTTAGTAGCACCTGTCTGAGCTCTTTAAAGACACCTGTCCACCCCACAGTCAGTCAGACGCCAACTACTACCATGGGCAAGACCAAAGAGCTGTCAAAAGACACCAGAGACAAAATTGTGGACCTCCACAAGGCTGGAAAGGGCTACGGGGCAATTGCCAAGCAGCTTGGTGAAAATAGATCAACTGTTGGAGCAATTGTTAGAAAATGGAATAGGCTAAAGACGTCTGTCAGTCTCCCTCGGACTGGGGCTCCATGCAAGCTCTCACCTCGTGGGGTATCACTGATGATAAGAAAGGTGAGGAATCAGCCCAGAACTACAAGGGAGGAGTTGGTCAATGACATGAAGAGAGCTGGGACCACAGTTTCAAAGGTCAGTGTCGGTAGAACACTACGCCATTATGGTTTCAAATCATGCATTGCACGGAAGGTTCCCCTGCTCAAGTCATCACATATCCAGGCTCGTCTGAAGATTGCCAATGACCATCTGCATGATCCAGAGGAGGCATGGGAGAAAGTCATGTGGTCAGATGAGACCAAAGTAGAACTTTTTGGTCTAAACTTCACTCGTGTTTGGAGGAAAAAGAAAGATGAGTTGCATCCCAAGAACACCATCCCTACTGTGAAGCATGGGGGTGGTAACATCATGCTTTGGGGGTGCTTTTCTGCAAAGGGGATAGGACGACTGCACTGTATTAAGGAGAGGATGAATGGGACCATTTATTGTGAGATTTTGAGCAACAACCTCCTTCCCTCAGTCAGAGCATTGATGGGTCGTGGCTGGGTCTTCCAACATGACAACGACCCGAAGCACACAGCCAGGATAACCAAGGAGTGGCTCCGTAAGAAGCATATCGAGGTTCTGGAGTGGCCTAGCCAGTCTCCAGACCTAAATCCAATAGAACATCTTTGGAGGGAGCTGAAACTCCATGTTACTCAGCGACAGCCCCGAAACCTGACAGATCTAGAGGAGATCTGTGTGGAGGAGTGGGCCAAAATCCCTGTTGCAGTGTGTGCAAACCTGGTCAAGAACTACAGGAAACGTTTGACCTCTGTAATTGCAAACAAAGGCTTCTGTGCCAAATATTAACACTGATTTTTTTCAGGTGTTCAAATACTTATGTTCAGCAGTGCAAGACAAATAAATTCTTTAAAAATCATACAATGTGATTTCCTGAATTTGTTTTTTAATTCTGTCTCTCAGAGTGGGAATGCACCTACAATGTGAATTTCAGACCCCGCCATGATTTCTAAGTGGGAGAACTTGCAAAATCCCAGGGTGTTCAAATACTTCTGTGAATGCTTTTGCTGCTGTGCAATTGGATTTTGAGTGACTAAAGCGTTTTTCATAAAACTACCAGTTTAGTATAAATAGTGCCACTATCTCCTTTCTATATGAATTCCGATCAGATCAAATATTAGATCTACACTGGTTATGGACAAATGTGTTTAATATATGTCATTGGTGGCAGAAAAGAGGACCATGGTATTCTTTCTGGAATCATTAGTGTTTGTGTTTAATTGGATTTAAAAAGTATGTGCTAATATTTTATAGTTCATTGATGGACACAGAATTCAGAGACATCTGGGTTATACTGCTACCTACAAGAGAAATTGGGCACTAGCAAACAAAAAAATTGTGGCTAACCTCTGATATAACCCCGGAAGAACGGTCTGGATAAAAGCGCACAGATGTGTCCCAAAGGAAATAAGTGAATGGTATATGTCAACTATGATTGGTGGGGAAAAAACTCACTGCTGCCATGGTAAAAACACATCGGTTTGTGGGAGGTATGAACAGGAGCAAGGCGCTGTGTAGTTGTGTGATAAAAATAATACACCTTGTATGGAGGTGTGCCTTTAATAAGTCATATGGTAAAACAATAATAAATAACCAGCCTGTGGCTTTAGGAAGCCAGGTTCCAAGATGGACGGCCCGTCCGCTCAGAGGGAAGCAGTGGAGTAGAATGCCTGTCAGTGCAGGGACCACGTTTACCCGACGTCCCAGCGTCCTGGATGACGTCACCAGGATGTGGAGAGACGGAGGGGGGGAACTCTTGCTGGAGCCGCAGCTTTAGAAGGAAGAGGCCGGTTGCTGGGACAACATGTTTCGCGCGCATGCGCTTTGTCAAGTCTTGTTGTTTATTATTGTTTTTACCATATGACTTATTAAAGGCACACCTCCATACAAGGTGTATTATTTTTACCACAAAACTACACAGCGCCAGGCTCCTGTTCATATCTGATATAACCCCACCCACTCCCAGCATTTGCCAGCGTCTCAGAAAGATGAATGTTTTTTTTTCTCTACTGAGATACGTTTAAATATTTTTAAATTTTTTTCAAAATTACTGTATTTTGTTTTCTTCAATCAAAACTTAAAGTGCAGCTCCAGTGACCATTATAAAAAAATAAAAGTCAACAGCTAAAAAAACCTCTAGCGGCTGACTTTTAAAAAACAGACACCTGTTCCTCGTTCCTGCGGTGTCCTCACTGGCTGTCCTCTCTACCCAGCACCAGGCATCTTCAGTGTGGGCACCCGGTTGTGACAGTTTGTGTCTTCTCAGCCAGGTGCCCACTAAACGTGCATAAGTAGCGCTGCTCTTTCTGAATGGTCCTGTAGTGTTCTGAGACTGGTCACGTGTGTCCCAGAAGACTATGGGAAGGGGACAGACAGCGTCCGCTTCTGATAGCCTGGCAAAATCAGGAACCCGCTCCACAAAGGTGCGAAGCCTTAAAGTGGAACTCCGCTTTAATCTTGAAGGTGCTTGAGCTGGTCTGTCCATGCAGCTATCCGGACTGCTGTTTCACTAGCAACTGCTTTGGGGGCTGTACCCCCACCCTGCTTGGCTGAATGTCTTCAGGGCCTGCCTGGAATGTTACACTCAGGCATAGGGTTCCAAATTTAGGCCTTTCCAGACCTTTCTGTACTGTGTTAGCCACAGAGCGCTTTCTAGGTCCAGAGTTGGGACCCAGTCTTTTGAAGACTGAAATTCTGAAGATTTCAGTGGGCTGAGCATTGGGTGCTACAACAGTTAGGTTCATTTAAATCAACACCATAGAAAACTTTTTCCCAAAATACTAGCAAATCTGATTTTTTTTTTTTTTCCCTCCTTTTTACCATATATTATACACAGAGACCAGGTTGGCTTTGTCCTGGGCTGAGATGCCAGGAACAACACCCCCAAAACCTTTTACCTTCTTTCATATATCCATCAATGGGGAATTCCAGCCTGTCTATCATTTGACATGGAAAAGGAGTTTTGATAAGGTCAACTGGAAATTTCTACGCCTCTACCTGGAACAAATACTGCAGGTCTAGGACACAATATCATCACTAAAATCATGTCTCCATATTCCTCTCCCATCTTCAACAGTCCTGGTTAATGACTTCAAATCCACTTCTTTCCCCTTTCTCAAACGGGACTTGTCAGGGATGTCCTTTATCCTCACTGCTATCATCATAGAACATTTTGCTCAAGCAATCAGATGTAATGATTCGATAAAAAGCATTTCTACTCCCTTGGGACACTACAAACCCTCCTTACATGCTGATGACTTGCTGTTATATGTACATCAACCGCACACCAGTATACCTTCAATTTTCTCAGAAGTCTTTGGCCCCCTTAGTCATTTCAGACTTAACATTTCTAAAACTGAAGCCTTAAACATCTCCCTACTTTTTTTCCTCCTTATTTTGTCTCCAGGACAATTATCCTTTCCAATGATAATCCAAGTACATTACCTACTTGGGTACAGCAATCCCAAACCAACTTCCAGATCTCTAGGCTTTAAACCACAGTCTCCTCTCTGAGTTTTTTTATAAAGAACAAAACTCGTGGCCAAATATGCGCATTCCATGGTTGCTAGAATAAACATCCTGAAAATGGACACGCCTAAGCTTCTTTATATATTTCAGACCATTGCTATTCTCCATCCTAGAAACGTTTTCTGCATCTTGGTCTTCCTTTTGAAGCAGTTTATCTGGCAGAAACACTTTTGTAGACTGCGATATAGATTTTGTGATCCGAAACTACATGGCAGCATGGGCCTACCTGATTTTGAATTGCATCACACCTTGATATTGGCACTGATATTGCGTATGATAGAATGGTTCCCTCGTCCTCTAACCAAAGCCTCCACTCTAATAGCACAAGACTTGTCTCCTTTGGACTTTCGTT